CAGAGTTACATACTGTCTCCTAGAAATTTAGGAAATGTATTTCTAAACTGTGTGGCTAGTGTGAAAGATAATTGCTAACAAATCTCCTTCAGGGAAATCCAGTTTGCAACCCCAATCAGTGTCAAAATGAAAGAGCATAGGTTAATATGGTTCAAAGTCAAAATGAGAATTACACAATACGAATAATTGCTGAATGACTTGAAGTTCTTGAAAAGAATAGGAGAGAAACGCGAGAAACGACATGGTGGTGTAATGGTGTTACATAAGTGAAGACTATTAACATTACTACGACTAGAGAAGAAAGATACTCGAAATAGATTATGTTCCCCACAAAGAGGGTAGTTCTTTGTGTTTCTGATGTTAAAAAGATAGGTAGATAGATTTTTAATTTAAACTAACTTGACAGATTTTATGGAATAACAACTGTGATTGAAGAGGTCAGTGAACAGAGCGTGATCCATAATCAATAAACCTACAATAAATAGAAAAAAATATGCCATATTTAAAGAACAAATGATACGTACTTTTAAAATACTGATGCAATAACTGCAAAAACATTACTAATACATGAAGTGCTACCGTTAAGCAATAAGAAAATGCGGGATACCAAACGGTTTTAACATGAAAAAAAAATAAATGTTCAGAGTCCGCAAAAGTACCGTCGTGAATATGGAGCAAAAAAGCATAAAATGGTTTAACAACCAACCTCATTCTGAAACAGAATTGCAAGATATAGCCAACGAAATTATGGCAGATGATGGCTTACTCTTGGATAATAATTTTGACACTGATATAGAGGAAAGTGATAATGATGAAAGTGACACAGATTTCAATTATCTATTTCCAAATACGTTTAAAAATAATTTCAAAAGAAGAAGTGATAAAAAAAGTGAATATTTTACAAGATATTAGACTGTTTTCGAACATTGCAAGTGAAGTAAATGATATTTCAATATCAATAACAATTAAAATACATTTCAAAATAAATTCGCTAGAAATAATTATGAGAAAAAGGATATAGTTAAAAAGTTTATGATAGATACTCTCTACAAACTTTCAAGTATCGCTTGATTAGGCCGTGTGTGGTACGGTTTCCCTGTGCGACTTTTTTTGATTATGGGGCGATTTTCCACTAATGTTCCCAAAACATTTCATCTGTGATGGAAATCTGTGATTTCCATCACAGATAGGAAAATCGGAAAAGAAGTTTCGTCAGACAATATGAAAAGTTGTTTTTGCTTCTACTCTTAAGTAGAAGTTCTGCTCTTATTTGCCACTCAAATAAGAGCAGAACTCTTATTTGAGTGGCCTCATTACAGTGTTCAGGTGATGTTCAGGTATGCTTAAAAGCGTTCATATCGCTTCATGGTATTAGTGAGGATAAGGTTAGGTACTAAGGGGTGCTCTGCTTAGTGCTGGTAAATCTCCCACTGACTATCGTGGAAAACATTCAACAAACGTATTTACTTCTTTGAAATCTCTTAAAGAGAGAAAATCACACTATTCTTTAAAAGACATCAACAAAATTTACCTTCCTGTGGCGTTAAATATTTCAAAGCTACATACCATGTACAGTAGACTCTCGATTATCCGAGCCTTGGTTATCCGAGCCCCTCGGTTAACCGAGGCAAAATTTTGCCTGGGGTTTACTTTTATAGCCGTACTTGTTGAATCACAATATCGAGTAATAAAAAAAGGGTCGATGGTCACAAGTTATATCGGCAGCTGTTATATGGGCAATCCATTGAAAATTGTGGATTATTGATAAGAAGAGAATTGTGTTTAGGTCAAGCTGATGTCGAGTTGGTATTCTCAGAAATTGGTCACCGCCTTATTCCAGAAATTTCTGTGTCGTGTTTTGTCTACAACTTCCTGTTACTTTCTATGTTAATCAGTGTGAATTGAACTACCGATTTGTTTGTTATCGTTCAGATCGTCAAATTATTTGTTTGCTGCCGTTCAGATCGTCAAATTAAGTCAAATTACTGTACGGTGAAATTTTTGCTTTTATGTACTGTTTTGTGTATTTATTCGAGTTTATAAGTTTAAGTTTCATAATTAATTTTTCATAAGTTGATTTTTGTGAGTGTAAGAGAGCATCTTTCTGTGCAATATGAATGAAAAGCGGAAGAGAGTAGTTGTATCTTTAGAAACAAAAGTGAATGCAATTAAGAGGTTGGACAAGGGTGAATCAATAAAGAAGGTTGCTTCAGATTTAGGTGTCGGAGAAGTAACTGTTGGAGATTGGAAGCGTAAGCGGAATAAAATCGAACAGTGGGTTAACCGAAGTGTGAGTGGTGGTAGTGGATTGGCCCGGAAGACTATGAAGAAAGGGGACTATGAACAAACTTCTGAGGCATTGTTCTTGTGGTTTTCACAAATGAGAGGATTGGGCAGTCTGATAAGTGGTCCAATACTCCAAGCAAAAGCTATCGAATTCCAGAAGAAGTTTATGGATGGAGGAGAAAACTTTTGTGCTAGTGAAGGATGGATTGACTTATGGAAAAAGAAATATGGCATCCGACAATTGAATATTTGTGGCGAAAAACTTTCTGCTGACTCAACTGAAATTGGAACATTTTATTTAAAATTACAAGACATTATCCTTAAAGATGGACTAACTTCAGACCAAATATTTAACTGTGATGAGACAGGCCTTAACTTTAAAATGCTTCCATCGAAAACACTAGCTGCTAAAAATGAAGGAACTGCACCAGGTTACAAAAAAGCAAAGAGAGAGTCACAATCATGATTTGCAACAATGCTTCTGGTTCATTAAAATTAAAACCTCTTTTAATCGGAAAATCCAGAAATCCAAGAGCATTCAAAAACGTCCAAATAAATTGCTTACCTACAATCTATAGCAACAAACGCAATGCATGGATGGACTGTAACACTTTTAAGGACTGGTTTTTTAATGACTTTGTGCCAGTCATTGATGCCTACCTAATAAACAAAAATCTGCCTCGGAAAGCTTTGTTGTTGTTGGACAACGCACGATCCCACCCAGATGCGAGTGAATTGATTAGTGGTGACATACGAGCTGTGTTCCTTCCACCCAATGTGACGTCTCTCATCCAACCCCTAGACCAAGGCGTTATAGAAGCAATGAAGAGGAATTATCGGCGGAAGCTTCTTCAGGTACTGCTAACTAAGCTGGATGAAGGGCTGACTGTAATTGAGACATTGAAGAAAATCACGGTTAAAGATGTTTGCTATTGGATTGCATCTGCTTGGGACGATGTAAAAGTGTCCACTATTCAGAAGTCGTGGAAAAAATTATTTAAGATAAACAACAAAACACAAGACGTTCAAAATGAAACTGATGACTGTGAAGTTGATTATATAACCAACCTAGCCAATCAATTACCAGTAGAACAACCAATCGGAAACCAAGACATCATCGATTGGATGAATCTAGATGAAGAAATGGAACTGACAGATGATGCAATTGCCAATCTAGTTCTAAACGTCACTCATGAAGAAGATGAAGAAGATACAGATGAGATAACTCAAAAAATTTCTCATTCCGATGGATTGAAGTCCCTTGAAGCAGCCCTCGCATACATCGAGCAACAAGAAGAATCGACACCATTAGACGTGCTCAATTTTCAACGTTGGCGCAACATCGCCGCCTCAAAAAGAGGAATGAAGTTAAAACAAAAATCAATCAAAGACTTTTTTAAACAATAACATTTATAAGGTAAATTGTTTTATCTTTTATACTACTTTTATATTAGTTTTTAATTATTAAAATAAACACATTAATCATTATTTGCGTAGGTACACATTTTTTTATCAGTACATATAACCAATCTATGTTAACCGAGTTTTTTCGGTATCCGAGGTAGTCCCGGTCCCAATTACCTCGGATAATCGCGAGTCTACTGTACTTAACTAACTATCCAGAACATAAAATTTCGTAAGAATCATTTCGTGGGATTTTTGAGAACAACTTCAACCTTTCCTTTGGTTATCCACGTAGGGACTCTTGTAGTACATGTGATTCCTTAAAATCACAAATTTTAGCGCTTGAGGAAAAGCTTAAAACTGCCACTGAGAAAGGAAAAACAAGTCAGAATCTGCAATACATTAGATGTTCGTTTGTAATACTTCATGTAACGTTTTATATTGATTTTTTTAATTGTGTATTCTTATTGTATGCCATACGATAAATAAATCCCCACCAAAATCACACACTGGAGATCGAAAACCAGGGTCTACAAAACTTTAATCAGATCTATAGTAAAGTATGGATGCGAGGAATGGCATTATGATGACAGACAATATAACAAAGAAAAATGGAAATCTTTGAAAGATAAATCCTAAGAAATATATTTGAACCTATTAATAACAACTGAGTAGGGAGATCTAGGTACAAACTGGCAAATCCAGGGAAAATTGACAATCGGTGCGAAAAAACTGGAAATGTCTAAAGGTGTAAGTTTTAGAACTTCTTTGTGAGAGGAATTTCACGATTAAGCATTAGCATCTGCTTAAACTTAGCCTTAAGGAATCTTGTTGGTTAGCTACAAATCAAACTATTGTAACACTGTCATGTCTGTTAACCGAAACATTTTGGCACTGCATTTTGTTGAGATGTTGCCCTGTAACTAATCGTTTATTTTATTCCTTTATCCCATTGTTGACTGGAATATTTCAGCTCTAAGTTAACACTGACAGGGTTTTTTTTTAATAAAACTTACTCTTTTCATAAATACAAGAATATCCTCTAGTCTTCAAAAAACTATCTAATATTAAATCTAATTTAAAACAGATCTGACTTAGTCGTTAACAATAAAATATATTGTTAGTACAAAAATATCAATTTAAAAAATTCTAGCAATATTTGTGACTTATAAAGTCATAATTAGTACACATTTATAGCAAAAGTTCTATAAAATACCTTGTAATTAGCCTTAATGTACATCAATTTTTGTATGTACAATAATATATAAAATCAATAAATTAGCAGTAGTTCTTCTTAAAATAGGCACCCGTTATTTTTGTCTTTTAATAAATTCGAGTAGTATTGGTCCATCTGGTTTATTTATAAGATACGATTTACTATCCAACTTTCCTCCTCTCCATCTTATTCGGAAATTACGGAACACCTATAAAAAATTCATTTAAATAATATGGAACGAAACTGTCAGTAAAAATCAGAATATTTCGATTTCGAAAAACTATCGCATGCATAAAGTCGCATGCTATCGCAATACATCGAAAACATAGTTTTTAATAGTAGTTATAAAGATGTGCAGCTAAAGCAGTCTTTTATTTTACCACTTTTTTATTAACTAGCTTAGGGTAAACAATACAGTTATTGGACACTTAAGGGGACAGTCTCATGCGAAACTTTTCAAAAAATCAAAAAAATTTTTTTTACATAAACGCTTCCATTTACATTCAAAAACTCCCTCCTAAAATTTTAAAAAGAAATTCCCACTAGAATATAAGTTATAGTTATTTTATTAATGTCAGCTACGCACGTATGAAAACCGGTTTCTCTCCGCGCGGCGAGCGCGAGGCTCCAGCTGTTCTTGCTTTTGTATATATGTTGTATATACGTTGGGTATGTATTAGTGATTCATTTTTATATAGTATGTATATCTGTATAACGTTTGGCAGTTACTATACACATTTGGAATTTTAAATCCGGAACATAGGATTTTTTACAAATACTAAGATTCTCTGCGTTGCAATTAACCAGTGTAAATTTCTTTATAACGTCGCAATGTTTTATAACTAATTTATTGTTCCACTGGATTACTATTACTTCTCCTCAGCGGTTTGTAGTAGCGTATATGGCACGCCGACAGTGTTGCTCCGTCTACCGATTTTTCCTGAAAGTCCGGTTTTGTGCAGATAATAAATAATGTTTTATTAACATCAATTTTGTTTGTGTTCATTAGGTATTATTTAAGTTATAAAATTTATACTTAAATACATTTATTATTCCAAATATTGTTTATAATTTCAAATTAAAAAGAGTGTAATATAATTATTTTATTTTAAAATTCCTTTTTATTTTTAATTTTAAAAATCAACTTTTTTTTCAAGCCGTTTTGGCAATAAAACATAACCATTTTTTTAGTTATAAAATATTTTCATATCTACATTTATAAATAAGTGCGTTTTCGTTGAATTGACAAGCGATCTAGGTGTGTTCCGTTTTTACACTTACACTGGCAGCATCGCGGCGTGAATTGAGACTCCAGTCGAACTAATGAATTAATTATAAAACATCAAATCAAAAAGAAAAAAGCTTTACAACGCCATTTACAACAACTGTTGGATGAAGAGGGACCTCAATATTCACCAGGAATGGCCGATTAAACGTGAGTATAAAGTTATCAGCCTTTAATTCACGAAAATTATGTAAAAAAAACTTTAAATGCTTTTTTCTCAAAAGTAACATTTTCAAACTGGTCAGACACTTTTCTCCGAACCTGCTTAACCGATTTTAAAAAACCAAAAATTTTTCGAATGTATATACAAAAGACTAGATGATAAACCTTTAAAATATTTTAAAAACACCCCCCCCTTTTATTATATATGGGTAAATTCACCGAAAAATATAGCGATTTTTTCGACTTTTTTGAAAAAAATTCGTATAAAACTCTTCAAAATAATACAATTTGCATATTTTAAAGGTTTATCATCTAGTTTTGAGTCTCACGAATACAACCCATTTTGAATTTTTTGAATATCTGTTACAGGTGACTCACAAAGTGTCTTACCACCAAAAACACACTTTTTACTACACGCCATCTACAGGAGACCAATGAAGTTAAAATCGCTATTAAAAAATTTTTTTATGTACTTCAAGACTTACTTAATCATCTCCAGAAGAAATTATGTTAATAAATATTATAGTTTTTTTTTCTGCTTTAATTTTAAAATGTGTCTTTTTTTTTAATCGCATGAGACTGTCCCTTAGGAAAATTTCAACTTTAAAAATTTGTAATTCCACATTGTTCTCTGCAGATTGATTTTTTTTTATTTTATTTTAAATTAAAGTGTCTCGGCAACTATGGGCCATCCGGCAATAATCGCTCCTGTTTTTCTGCTCATGTGAGGCATGGTGATGGAGGTAACAGTTGGTTGAATTGTACGTAGTTTTGTATTTTGCATGTTCCAATGTGTTTGCCAAGTGCTTAGTACGTTGTTCTTGATACTGGCCTTTAGGTTTTTGTGAAGTTGTATGTTTTCCATATTTTCTAAGGAGCAGGCCAGTTTTGCTGCATGATCAGCGTTCTCATTTCCATTGATACCAACATGGGATGGTATCCAGATGATAGTTACTGAAACACCATTTTTTGACTGTTGTTGGCAGATGCTGTAGATGTACTATACAATGGGATGTATGGAGTATATATTTCTGATCGAGTCAATGGCGGAGAGAGAGTCGGTGCATATTGCTAATGATTTTTATTAGCAATGGGCGAGTCTAATGCCTTAAGTATTCCATACAGTTCGACTGTGTGTATACTGCATCTGGGAGAAAGCCGATATGACGCTATTGTTGTGTTTGAGGTACTGACGGCACAACCGACGGCCTGTTCTTTTGGAGGCATCTGTGTAGAGAATTTTGTCATAACGCCGTGTCTGTATAAGTTCCTCAAATTTTGTACCAAGAGAGTTCTGGGCGTTTCTTCTTTTTTGTATCGGTTCAAGCTGGTAAGGACAGTAGGTAGCTTTTTGGTCCACGGGGAATTCTGGACATAGTAAACAAAGTGTTGGGTCTATGTCTTTTAGTAAAGTTTTTAAAATTTGTGAGACAGAATGTGCTCGAGGGTGACTATTATCTGGGACAGGGTGGGGAGTATTAATTAGTTTAATTACTGTGTTTTTGGATTAGCAGAAATTCTGGAGAATTAAGACAGAAGTAGACGTTGTCGTCTTATAAAAAGTGGAGGTTCTGAAGATTCGATATAAAGACTTTCAGAAAGACTTGATTTAAAGGCGCCTAGGCTGATTCGTAAAGAAGTATTGTGAATAGTATTCAGACATTTAAGGTGAGTATTGGAAGCAGATATGTAGAGAATGCTTCCGTAATCCAACCTTGATTCTATTTAGGCAGTTTGATTTTGTTTCTGTATCTTGATCTCTCCATGTAAGTTTTTTGTCGAATATTACTCCTAATAATTTGTATTTATCTCACTTGAAGAGAGATCCATTTAGGTGAAGTAGAGGAGGGTCAGGGTGATGTCTTCTAGAGAAGTTTATGACTCTAGATTTTATAGATGACAATTTGACTCTAATTTCAATGGACCAGTTATGAAGATTGTTAAGAGTGTTTTGGAGTAAAGAGCATGTGCTCCTTGTAACTTTACCTTGGCAATAAAGAACAAGATCATCTGCGTATATTGAGTATTTTATTGGAGGAAGAACAAGAGAGTTTATATTGTTAATGCTAAGAAGGAATAGTGTGGGGTAAGAACTGAGCCTTGGGGACTCCATTTTGTGAGATATGTGATGTAGATGTTTTCCCGTTTGCGACTACTTTGAATGATCTCTCTTGTAGGAAATTGTTTATAAAGGTAATAATATTACCCGTTAAATTAAGTTTTCTAATAATAGCAGCTCTGTTTATTGTGTCAAAGGCACTTTCTAAGTCTAAGGCAACTGTGATGACGTCATTTTTGTCTGATATAGCTTGGGTTATTTCTGTTTGGAGAAGTAGCAGATTGAATTGAAATTTATACAAAACATAGTCTAAACAATTTATTACAATATGGCTAAAAGGAGTTAAAGAAAGTGTTAAATATTTTTTTTCAATATATACATATTTATTAAAAATAGTTATAATAATTATAGTTATTGGACAACTGCTTTAACACAATAAAAAACTAGAAACAAATGAAAATTAGAAGAAAACCCAAAGATCTCTGTGCGTTATGGGGTACCTATATATAGTTGACACAATTAAATTTTATAATTGCTTCTGCGCTTCTTTGTATTGAGTGAAAAGTTCGTCAATGTCTTCATTCTTACCGTCTTTATTAGCATCAGAATCACTATCCTGCAGATTTAAAGCAGTTGTGACATATAAATAGATCACCATCGTTAGGTATATGCTTGTCTATGCTCAATAGGAATATACCATTCGTGATAATAAAGACTACAGTCATGGCATTTTAATTTATTCGATTGAATATTATTTGAACAAATAGAACATTTGACTTTTTGAATTCTTTTTGTTGCTACACTGGTTTTTGGTTAATTTTTCTTCTCTTTTCCGTTTCCTTTGTTGTTTTTGTTTTTCCTGTTCTTCTTTTAACTCCACCTTTTTTCGTAGCATGTCTTGATATCGTGCAGATTTAATAGCAAAAGGAAGTCGTTCCTTGTTACGTTTAGTTTTTCTTTCGGTACAGTAGGAAAAGTTAAAAATTACCCAAAAATTCGTGTTTAACAATAATTTTTACTTGTAGAGGATAAGTCATAAACATTAGTTTTATACTGTTGAATATGGATATCATTGGTACTACTTACTCTCAGAAATATTGACATTTTCAATACAACTTTGTTCTGATGTTTTTATTTCAGTATTTTTAACGGGAGATGTGATAGCTTCTTCTTTTTCTTCGTCTAGCCATTCACGTCCACATCTGAACATAAGCCTCTTCAAGTCTTCCTTTCCATTGTTTTTTATTGTACGCTACTTGTAGCCAATTTTTCCCGGCAGTCCTTTTCAGATCATCTGTCCATCTCATAGGAGGTCTGCCTCTGGGTCTTTTGTGTTGGTATGGTCTCCAGGTTAAAATTGATCTGTGCCATTTGTTTAGATCGCTCCTAGCTACATGTCCAGCGTATTCCCATTTCAGCTTTAATGCTTTTTGCACCACATCGGTGACTTTGGTTTTCTGTCTTATCCATGTGTTTGTTTTCTTGTCCTTAAGTGATATACCTAGCATTGCTCTTTCCATCGCGTGTTGAGTGACTCTAAGTATATTCATATTCTTTTCGGGTAGACACTCTTTACGATCCCGGTAAAGACAGGTCTGCTTCAGGGATGCGTCCCTGCCCACGCGAGCTCGGCTTTTTCTCCCAATCCTCTTCCGGGAGAGAAGCGGATCCTAATCCTAAATCCTTCCCACCAACCCAGACCTACCCAAATCCTTCCCTTCCCTCCGCAACCCGTACTTGACCAGCGTGAGGAGATAACGGTCCAAACCTTCAAGTCAATGTGCAGGACAAAAAAGGAAAAGGCCCCCAGTGCCCAGCACTTCCAGAGTCTTGATCACGGCAGCGATCAAACAACTAACGGAAGGAGGGGTGCTAAGAATCCCTGGGTAAGACCCGGCTGCCACAAGAAGACAATTTGGCTATGCTCCTACAATATTCAAACACTGACGGACGACAATAGATTCCCAGAAATAGGAAAGTGAACTAAAGGATATAAAATGGGATATCCTTGGTATATGCGAGACCAGAAGAAAAAAGTGATGAGTATATAATACTAAAAAATGGCACACATTTTATGCATAAAGGTGGCGAATACACTGGAGTGGGATTCTTGGTAAAACAAAGCCTCACACAGTGTATCGAAGAATTCAAGCCCATATCAGACAGAGTAGCATATCTCATCATCAGGATTAATAAAAGAACCACTCTGAAAGGGATCCAAGTGTACGCTCCGACCAAAAAGCCACGATGATGAAGAAGTAGAAATAGTGATAGCTATATTTGAATAATATTAATGTTTGTGTCTGTCTACTATTTTTTAGAACCATTGGGTTATCCGAATGTTTTGGATCATGTTCAAAAAAATTCCAAATTTTGAACAAAAAATTCAAATTATCGTCACTAGGTAGATTATTCGTTGGATTTTCTTTTAAATTCTCTAAGCTATGAACGTGTTGAATGTTTTTCTATATACTTCATAGCACACTGCTCTATTGGGATGTTTCTCAAGGATTCATTTTGTACATCTTTTTAATGTTAAGTTCCTCTGGAAGGTACTTCTTGATAGATTTTTTTAGGCTGTAGTGACTCATGCACCCTTTGAATGATTTTATGTGATTTAAAATTAACTGCATAGTTTCTTCAGACATTTTATTGGGTCTTGAGCCATGTTTACCTCTATTGTCCTTGTCGGTTATACCATGTTTTAGGGCTTTTTGTATAGTTTGTAATCTTCTCCGTGGATATACCATGAAGAGCAACAAAAACTTTTTGACAAACCTGAACGTCTTTTGCAGGTGATGTATGCCCTCAGTATTAGTTACCGCAAGGCGAATTCTGTAATAAAAGAGCCATCTCTTACGTTGCCATTACCTTCGTCTTTTCTTGGCCTTCTTTGAGTTACAGGAAGTATGGATATTAGACCACCCAAATACAAACTTTGCTCGTCCCAATTCAGCATAGAATTAAAATTACGAATAATTGTATCTCTTTGTTCAACCGTTATATGTTCAAAACACTGATAACGTTTGCAACGGCAGTCCTCGCCTGTTTCGTGAGTTTGCAGTTTTAGTGCTTTAGCTACATCACTTATTTTCCCAAAAGATTTTCGTTTTCTTGTAGTTTTTGACTGTAAACCCTTTCAATTTCACTGTCCTCACTTTCCCATATTAATAAACAATAGTTTAAACTTACATAAACGTTAAAAACAAACTGTGATTATGATAATAATGATACTAAAATAAACAACTTGTATGATTGCTGAACACCGACTGTGATTTTCCGTTATAAAATTGTCCCTTCGGACAGGCGCATTGAGCACCTAAATCTGCAATGTTGCCTAGTTTTACCTTGACTTGCAGCGCTCTTCCATTGTACAGCATTATTTTATTCGTTTGTAACGTTTGACTTATTGCACTTTATTTTGTTTGATATTTGTGGATTGTACTACGTGTATCCAAGTATCGAAAAATGAATTCATCAAAAAATCGATAAAATTGACTTACAGCGTTTTCCCCTGTAGTCTTCAAATAATACTTACTTTTAATAACAAAATGATCATATTCTGTTCAGCTAACCGCCTTGCTATGCACGATCTTGGTCCATGTCCGAATGGCAAAAGAAGAAAAGGATGTGGCTGTTGGTATAAAGAATGATTTTTTAACCATCTTTCAGGTACGAATTTTTCAGGCCGAGGAAAATATTTGTCTAGTTGACAGGATATCTGATTCTGGCTAACAATGCTCGTCTTAAATAAAAAAATATTAAGTCAAAACATGATTTAAGTAAAGTTGAGATAAGTTTATAAGTAAACCAGTGTATAAAATATTATCTTGCTCATTTTCTTCGCACAGTCTTTCATCATCTATTTTTTCTGTAGAAGTAATTAAGCAAACGTTTCAAATATCATGTAACGTATCAAATAACATATCAGTATGTTACACTGATAATTTTTCGACTGTTCAAATTCATACATTCAGATTTCGTCATTTTATGTCATGTGGAATAATTTCACCCAATCATGTCAACATTAGACTGATAATTGCATTCAGTGCAATTTTCAATCTCTATGACAACACGATCGAGTTTGACAACTTCATCCAAATACATTTCAAAATGTCACGTTTCGGCAATGAGAATGTTCAAAGTATAAATGCGCTAATCAAAGAAAAAATTCCCAGAAATACAACCTACAGTCACAAATATATTTGGGGAATATTCATGGAATTTTGCTGCGGACGAGAACATGAGTTGAAATGAACATAGAAGCTTAAATTTTAACCATATTGCTGCTGTAGAATTAGCGTGGCGAGGAGGAGAGGCAGTTGCTTGTCAGAAAAATAACGATGACACTCCACAAATCGCATTGAATACAATCCGGTATTCAGTAAAACGTGCCAAGGTGGTTCTAAAAGCTGTGCAAGTAGTAAATGGTTGGTTATCAATAGTGAGATATCAAAACGAGGCGACAGTATTACCTCACCACGACTGTTCTTAAAACCAAATCGACACTGGAAAAGTGAAACTGACAAATGGTACGATAATGTACCTGTTGAAAGAAATACAATGAATGGATGGACTAAATCTTCTGCTGAAGCAATTGGCTTGAATGTAAAGGAGAAAAAGATAACAAATCACTGGAATAGATCAACTGCTGTTAGCGAATTAGCAAAAGTGGTGTAGAAGAACAACAATTGCTAAAAATTACTGGCCATGACAATCAGAATTCTATAAAACCATACTTGAATCTCGATCAAGAATACCACAACAAGATTATAAATATTATGCGTGGTAATAGATCTTCTATAGTAGAGAACAGCAACGAATCTAATGTTAACTTAAATTTTAATAATTGTATCTTTCATTAATTGTACTTTTAATAAATAAATGTTTCGTTATGTTGAGTTATGATTTTTTTTTTTCGAAAAATTATCTGCCGAATATCCCTCGGACATTGATGAATGCCTCATAATTTTATGACAAATTTCTCAAGCTCGTTGCTTGGTAACAGCACTCAGCTTTCGGCTTCGTGCTGTTACCAAGGAACGAGCTTTCGATTGTCATGAAATTATCTCGTCTGTTATCATTGTCCTAGGGATATTACTACTGAAAATAATCTAAATGATCTAATTTAGATTATTTAATTAAATTAAAACATTCGTTATAACAATTGTAGATCTGCATTTTTTACTATTCATGTATGATGTTAGAAGACTGAGGATGACTCTTTACAAGTTTGTTTAATAATGCATTCCTTAATGTATTATGCAAGGCAGCAATATTTACAAGAAAGAAAGAGAAAAAACAAATACATGTGGCGGAACTGAGAATGCTTATGTAAATGAGTGAAGTAGCAAAAAAAGATAAAATTAAGAATGGATATATTAGGGGAAACCTAGGTGTGCCATCAATTGATGCTAAACTCAGAAAATATAGGTTAAAATGGTTCGGGTTCTGCAAGTTCCTGGAAAGAGTAGGAGAGGAAAAACCAAAGAACGCCCGTTAAAAACGCTTAGGCAGGACATGTCAGTGTAAGCTGCCCTGCAAAATGTCTTTTATTGGCCAAACTTTATAGTAGTAGAGGAAGCTGGGCAAAGGTTGAGATAAAGAGATGGTACGGATAAGAATGCCAGAAAGATCGATGTGGCCAGCGAAGCTTAGTAAAATCGAGGGCAAGTAGAGCCGAGGAATGATGATGAATATCTCCAAACATTGAAGATACTTCAAAAACTTTCTAATTTAAAGCTAGAATTATAATATTTTAGAAATTTTATAGGTAACTGAAATATAGCTATACTTACTCCTGCAGGTACTGTATATCCTGAGAATTGAGCATCATTTTGTAAAATCCTTCCGATTCCCACAGATATAGGACGTAACCTTAAGGATTCTTTAAGTACGGCTTTGGTATATACTGCTTCACTTAATATTTCTTCTGTAACTCTTGAAAGTTGGCTTGGTAATAATCTGTGTGCTTCTTTATAAAGATTTTCTTGAACACTAGGACTATTGGCTATATGATATAAAACAAAACTGGTAGTATAGGCTGACTAAAAATAAAAAAATATAGACTATCAATAGAATCGACTATTACTTGGCAGGAACTTATGTTGACTAAATGTGTGGACATAAATCAAATAGTGTTTTTCATTTGCACTGAATTTATGAGTGACTTAAAATAATGTTAAGCTAAATATTAACTTCCTCACAACGTAACTTCTAATACTAATAATAACTAATATTAACTTCTTAACAGCTTGATTCTTTCACAGGGCAATTACTTGCTCGGTACATGTGGAATTGGTTTGGTTGTTGACCAGATTTATGTTCAGTTATAGGTTTTTTAAAGTTTTGACTTTCTGACACTTCTGAGCATGTATCACAACAGATTTTATGTGTACTTGGATTTTGATTTTCCATCACATACACATATAACTTTATCTTTATTGTTTCAAACAAGGGATATATTTATAGCAGATGAAAAAATAGAGATATCAGAAGAAGACTTTAAAGGACAGATGTAACGCTTAAAAAAATCGAAAATCAACAGAATACTCTTATTAAACAGTTCTGTACGAAAAGTATTACACAACACAATATCTCAAAAACGCGAATAAGAATAAAGACTATAGCGGGATAAGATGGTCTGGGCTATTCGAAAGGACCTAATTAAAAACTCACTCGGTTAAATTTTCAAGTCCTTAGGTGCCTCTGGGGGTTCGCTATGGGAAAAAACGTATTTAAAGAAAAAAAAAAAAAAAATTTTAGACGCTGTATTGCTGCAAAAAAATCTGAAAAAATTCATGAAAGCGTAGTTTAATAATACAATATTTAGGTTATGTCGGAAATTTTTGGCCAACTTTAAAACAATGTTTTTTTATGTTTTTTCCCGTTCTTTCGAATGGCATAGGTATTATTATCATTTTCAACGTGTAAAATGCCTAAAAATCGAAAAAATTACTTTTTTGGCATTTTTCTGAAGCAACCCCCACCCCTTAACAATAAATTGTATGGGCCTAGGAACAAAACAAAAAAAAAAATAAGTATTACATAGAAAACAAAAAATTTATTTATACCGCCATAAGATACAATAATATCAGTTTTTTTAAAATAAAAAAATATTAATAAAATAAACATAAATTAGGTTATTTAGTGAGATGGATGACTCATAACCTTAACAACATACATCTAAATTAATGATAATTCATATCTTTATATGTATTCTTACCTTTACAATCGAAACAAGCTATTAAAACTATTATTTTTTTCCTAGAGCATGCTAAAAAAACCGAAAAACCCCGTTTTTTCGGCGTTGTTTTTAAGCTTTCGCTATATAACCTCTAAAGTCAGTGTCTAAATCATCGGGCAATAAGACAAAAGAGGGAATCCAATCCTTATGAAAAGGAGACCAAAAAAGTGACCTCTGATGGCGGACATATCCGGAAATGCGAATGCGCCAAATTTAAATTTTCCGACAGTTATCAAAAGTAGCTATATAATATTTCGCAGAATGTGTCTTAGACGAGAAAGTTTTAATTAATTATTAATGATAAGAGTCTAAAATGCGACACAATTGTTAAAAAACTTCAATATAAATAAGATTTCATGTGACATTTGGGACAAACAATAACATAACCCAACTAAATTTGATGTCAAACAAGGAGAGAGACTCTCTTTCCTTGTTTAATGTGGCCTCTAAAGATCGCACTTCCTGTCTAACAATATGTTTGCCCCCACTACCTTTACATTCCCTCTATTGTCTTTTTGCTCGATGGTCTAAATAAATGGTAATTTGCATTTTCACATGTATCTTCCCCTTTACAATCAAAATCAGTTATTCAAAGCATTAGTTTTATCTCACAACTTTCTGAAAAAAACGAAAAACCCCGTTTTCTCCATGTTTTTACTACATAACCTCAAAAGACTCTGAAAAATGAATCGTGAATTAGAACGCACTTGTACACTCAAAAGTTGTGGAATTAAAAGCTAGCTAATATATCTACATATATACGTGATATTATATCACAATGTACATGCATTTATACACAAACGCATATCTATATAGTTCCATGGCTTTTGAGATCCTTGTTATATAAATTCATAAGCTCGTACCATGCTCGTCCATGTCTTACTCTTCCTCTTAGATACAAGAGCCTTATACCCATGCTTATATTATTATTATTTTATTTTATATTTTATATGTACTTAACTGTTTTGGCCTTCATGTCTTAGCCCGACATCCCGCATATCCAGAGAGCCTGATTGTAACAGAAAACATAGCGTTGATAGTTGCGCCACACGGTAGTTGATATTAGGCGACGCAACTACCAACGCCATGTATATATGATATAATCAGGCTCGCATTATATATTGCTCTTAGTGCGTTTGTGTGTGTAGGGCCATATCCTCTGTATCGCTCTTAGTCAGTTTGCATGTGAGGAGGGGATGTGCGCATCGCCTTTATTATTTCGGCGGGGCTTTTCCTCAAATGGTCAATAGCTCTCTGTTTTTGTGTTTATTTTGAATTTGACAGCAGAATTGTACAATACAATTCATAAATAGACAGACAAAACTCATAAAAAAGCATTGTTTTAAAGTTGGCCAAAAATTTCCGAAATAACCTAAAATATTACTGAAAATTTCAAATATTTTTCCTTGGCTCAATTTTCAAGCTAAAAATTTTAAAAAAATCAGGTAGTATTGTATTATTAAACTACGCTTTCATGAATTTTTTCAGATTTTTTGCAGCAATACAGCGTCTAAATTTTTTTTTTCTTTAAATACGTTTTTTCCCATAGCGAACCCCCAGGGGCACCTAAGGACTTGAAAATTTAACTGAGTGAGTTTTTAATTAAGTCCTTTCGAATAGCCAGGCCCAAAACTAAATCGAGCATGGTGCAATTTTGACCATCTTATCCCGCTATAGCCTTTACTAAAGACTACTCTCAAAATAACACCATCCCAACTAGATGTGCACAGGTATTGGTTAATCTATTTGTTAATAGACAAGTATTCATTCGGTGCAATAATAAATTGATTGGTCCAAGGTTAGTTTATCGTTGGCCGCAGGGATCTGTGCTGATCTCTCTGTTATTTAATCTCTGTACTATGGATCTACATGGTATGGGCATTAATTGTAATATTTTACAATACGCCGATGATTTCTGTCTTTATACTTCTAAAAATTCTTATCAGGAATGTATTGATTTAATAAAAAGGATTATGTACAGTGCAACAGAATACTTTCTTAATCAAGTTTTGGAACTTACTTCGAATAAATATGCTGTGGTGTTATTTACTCGTCATCGCTTACCAAATATATCCAATATTAGACTTGATAATCTAAGTATACCTGTCCAAAAATACTATACTTATCTCGGCGTCACACTTGATACCAAATTAACATGGGAAGAACATATTAATAACTGTTTAATTAAATGGGAAAAAAGCCTAAATGTTTTAAAGGTAATTAACCGTCACCAATGGGGCTCCTAAGGGTAATCTAATGTTTTTTATGGCATATACTAGGTCAATTCTTGACTATGGTTGCTTTTTATATGGGTCTGCTACACATACTAGACTCAAAAAATGAGAACAAATCCAGAACAATGCTCTGCGTTTGGTTTTAGGTGCTCTTAAACCTACACCTACTGAAAATCTATTAGCCTAATGTATGGAACCTCCATTACATTTTAGACGTCTTTTTTTAGCTGAAAAGTTTATCCTTAAATGTCAAGGTAATAACCAAACCTACCAATTGCAAAAAATATCCGACATATCTGTGACTAACTTAGTTGACAAATAATGGCATAATTAATAATGTAAATAATAATGGCAATATTCTTTATTCCCAAACTAAAGTTTATTTCCCTAATTTTGACGATAAAAACACGATTTAACTTCAGAAACAACTTGCCAAATTTAATAAGCCATATAGGATTTTCACAGATGGGTCAAAATCCATTTTTGGAGTTCATTGTGCGGTATATATCCAAAACAATCAAGAACACATTATGTTTCAATTTTAACCAACAATGTTCCATTTATTCCGCAGAACTGTTTGCAACATATCAAGCTCTGGAATGGACTATCGAGAAAAGAATGTGTGATCAACAATTAGTAATTATGTCGGACTCAAAATCTGCGCTGTCTGCTTTAGATAATTCGCATAAGCATTTATACAAAAACAGTATTATCGTCAAAATTTTAGAAAATCAACTAAAGCTACTTGAAAGAAATAATTCAGTCTCTTTCATTTGGGTAAAACGACATGCTGGTATCTCGGGTAACACCAAAGCAGATTAATTTGCTAAAGAAGCGGCTTCAAACGGATTAGAAATTAGCTGGCTTAATAGAAGTGATTTAGTCTCGCTGCGTAAACAAGAATTAAAAGAAAACTGGGAAATTAAATGGAATGCTTTTTGTAACAGAAGTAACAACCTTTACACAAAAATTCACCCTGTTTTACCTACTGCGCCTTTTGCTGCAAGAAGTCATCCCAATAGAAGATTATATTCAATGTTTGTTAGATGCCTTGTTAATCATGATACTGTGAAAGCCCATCTTCATAGATTTAATTTAAGTGAAACAGAACTCTGTGATTGTAATGGTAACACTGACGATATCAATCATTGGATGTTCGGGTGCATATATAATGAGGTTGCTATTAAGTATCTATTGGAAAATCTGATAAAATAACAAATACTTCTTCCTCAGAGTCAATCTTCTATTTTATATATCTCTCGTCGTAATATTACTGTTAACCAAATTGTTTGGAGATATTTAAAAAGGACTAAAAGAAAAATTTAGCATGGAATATATAATGTAAATGTATAAATCTAGCTTTGGTCCCTCTGTCTATCCTTATGTTATATATTTACCTCCTAGCCGTTGCCTGTCTTGTGTTGTAATAAAGTCACTATAAAAGGCACCTTGGCGTGAAAAGTATCCATATATTATAAAATCCCTTGTTGGTTCTAAATATTTACTTTAAGTTGGTTAGGGCCCTGAATGTAAGAATCTGGTTCTTGTGATATAGATGTTTACAATATTTTTTAATTCACATCTAGGTGAAGTACTATTTTGTTAACAAATGCAATAGATCAATACATCATAACAATTTCAAGTAGTCAAATACATTATCATGACTGAATGGATCAAGTTATCCATTAATTAAATAAAAAAACTAATACCAAAAATAATAACTCAAAAAAATATCAAAAATATATCATTAAAAGAAGACCATCAAGGATTCAGAACGGACCAACCTTGCAGATTTGTACAGATCAACAGGGTACGTTTTAACTAGCCAGTTTTCTGTCGTTGAATTCTGGTTATGTTCCCAGCGCGTTAGAAATCATCGCGAAAATTATATGCGTATATGCGTTTTTGTTAATATGTACTTAAGTAATGTTAGGTAATCACATTTGATACAAGAAAAATAGAGAAATTACGTCAGCCATCACATTATTAATCCTTACTGGGAGACAATAAGTAACACATCTTCCGTTTTTACTAATTCAAATGATAAATTATATTGTGAATTATGAAAGTAAGGCACTGAAGAAATTATTTAAATAAATAGTATAACGCTTAGAATATAAGACCGATAATGTAATACATATTATTATGTATATAAAGTTAAAAGTCAAAAATTTGGTAAGCAAACAAACCGAAACCGTATATTAATAAATTTAATCTTCCTGAATTTTTTTTTTATTTAATTAATGACTTTGGATAACTTGATCCATTCAGCCACGATAATGTATCTGACGACTTGAATTTGTTAATGATGTATTGACATATTGCATTTGTTAACAAAATAGTACTTCACATAGAGGTAAATTAAAATATAATGTAGATATTAGTATCACAAGAATCAGTAGATTTTTAAAAAACCATACATTCATTCGTTCCATTCAATGCCCTAACCAACTTAAAGTGAATATTTAGGACCCACAAGGGATTACATAATATAGGGATACTTTTCACGCTTTCAAGGTGCCTTTCATAGCGACTTTATTACAACACAAGACAGGGAACGGCTAGAAGGTAACTATATAATATAAGTGTAGACAGAGGGAACAAAGCTAGATTTATACATTCACATTACACATTCCATCCTAAATTTTTCTTTTAGTCATTTTTAAATATTCCCAAAAAATTTGGTTAAACCTAATATTATGACGAGAGATATATAAAATGGAAGATTGACACTGAGGAAGAGGTATTTGTTCTTTTATTAGATTTTCCAATAGATACTTAACAGCAACCTCATTATATATGCACCCGAACATCCAATGATTGATATCGTCAGTGTTACCATTACAATCACAAAGTTTCGGTTTCACTTAAATTAAATCTATGAAGATAGGCTTTCACAATAGCATGATTAACAAGACATCTAACAAACGTTGAATATACTCTTCTATTGGGATGACTTCTTGCAGCAAAAGGCGCAGTAGGTAAAACAGGGTGAATGTTTGTGTAAAGGCTGTTACTTCTGTTACAAAAAGCATTCCATTTAATTTCCCAGTTTTCTTTTAATTCTTGTTTACGCAGCGAGACAAAATCACTTCTATTAAGCCAGCTAATTTCTAATCCGTTTGAAGCCGCTTCTTTAGCAAATTAATCTGCTTTGGTGTTACCCGAGATACCAGCATGTCCTTTTACCCAAATGAAAGAGACTGAATTATTTCTTTCAAGTAGCTTTAGTTGATTTTCTAAAATTTTGACGATAATACTGTTTTTGTATAAATGCTTATGCGAATTATCTAAAGCAGACAGCGCAGATTTTGAATCCGACATAATTACTATTTGTTGATCAGAAATTCTTTTCTCAATAGTCCATTCCAGAGCTTGATATATTGCGAACAGTTCTGCGGAATAAATGGAAAATTGTTGGTTTAATTTAAACCTAATGTGTTCTTAATTGTTTTGGATATAAACCGCACAACCAACTCCCAAAATGGATTTTGACCCATCTGTGAAAATCCTATATGGCTTATCAAATTTGGCAAGTTGTTTCTGAAGTTGAATGGCGTTGTTATCATCAAAAGTAGGGAAATAAACTTTGGTTTGGGAATAAAGAATATTGAAAGTAGATTGGAATAAATTATTTTCAGCTAGGATTTCTAAATAGGAAGAAACATTAGGACATGCTATAGCTAAAGTTGGAGAATTTTTGTTATTCCTGAATTTTAAATATAACTAATTTCTAACTTACTGTATCTATCCCTGCTAAAAGAAAATCACAGACAACGCCAATTATGTCTTTAAAATCTACTTCAGGAGATGATAAATAGGAATCGAGCAGAGAAGGTTGGCTGTTCTCTCGGTCCGTAAACAATGACATTTTAAGTGCTATTAAATCTATTGCTACCCTAAAAAATAAAAAAATAAGAGTCATGGTATAGAATTACATAAATGTACACTATCGGAATGCTGTTTGATATGAGATTGTATAACATCTCTCAAATAGTGTATGCAGAGAGGATATCTGATATTGGCGGTAATACGCTAGATTAATTTACGACATAGTGTAACATAAGGCAAACAAACTCTTAATTTATTTAACAATTCATAATAGAGTTTAAATTTAAGTATTTATGATATTGTTAATGTAAACCGACATTGGAGACGCATACTTAAAGCGTTCTATTTTCAATCAACGGAGAATTCAGAATAAACTGCTGCTCAGTCGTTATGTGAGGTCGCAAGTTGCGACCTACCTTAATGATAAACGCGTAGGAAGTTTGGATAAAAAGCAAAAAATAATATTTTCTTTGTGAAAAATGTTGATCTGAACCCGAGTTGGGTGCAAGGGTGAAAGCTCCATGGCGATCCTAAATAAAAAGAGGAGCAGATATTCATCAACCAAGCGGGCAACAGTGGAGGTAGCACAGCTCATACGGAACAGATAAGAAGAATATATCGAATTCAGAGGTATTTGGAGTAATGGCGTCCGCCTTAACCCTTCTATTCGCCGCGTGAAAGGTATACAGAAGATGGAGAGGCAACAAATCCGACAAGACGCCCGGTATCCAGGAGCAACCCTATAAGACATTTTTTTTTAAGTAAGAAAGTCCCTGTAACATTATGCGTGATAGCTTCTTTTTCATTCACATTTGCTGGTAAGGTAGTAACCTATGCTTTTGACAGTAAATTTTGACATTTTTTACAAATCACACCAAATTAAAAAAAAAAAGTAAATACCATGAACTGCAAATACTACAGAGGCATAGCTCTCCTTAATATATCTTTTAAAATACTGATAATTACGATAAAAAGAGACTGAATGAGGAGATGAATGAAAGAGGCTTTAAAAAGAGTATAGGTGTGGTGGTTATTATTATTATTATTATAACATAAGCGAGGGCAGAGGAACTAAGTCCCTATTATGCCCAAAAACAAAGAAATTTCATTAATCACCTGCTAGTAAATAACAAAAATTACAAATAATTGCTGTAATTAAGTCTCCACGTTGTCGGCGAAGTTCAAAAGTAGATAGGTTAACCATACTAAGTCTTTCTGGATAAGACGGTCTTCTCGGTCCCAAAGAAATTCGAGTGGCTTTTCTTTGAACGTTTTCCAACAAAATCTTGTCTCGAACCAGATCAGGATACCACGTTGGTCCAGCGTATTCAAGTATGGGTCTTACGTATAGAGTGTAAAGTTTACAAAATGATTGCATTGAAACTCTCGAAAAACACCTCCGAATAAGATACAGTCTGGAGTTTGCACGTTTACAAATAGAGGTAATATGATCGGACCAAGTTAGGCTGCTGTTCACGATAACACCGAGATCGTTATACGAAAACACAGATTCTATTGGCTGCCCGTTAACAAAGTACGGCACAAGTGGGTTATTTTTGCCAATTCGAAGCACTACACATTTTTCCGCGTTTACGGGTGGTAACCACTGGGAACACCGTTAAAATAGAGACCAAGTCCATTTGGAGGGTTAGCTGGTTTGTGATTGGATTGGCATATATTTTTGTGTCGTCAGCGTAGAACGATATTTTACTTGAGACATAATAAGGAATATCGCTGATGTAAACCGTAAAAAGCAGAGGTCCAAGGACAGAACCCTGAGGCATTCCACTTTCCACTAACCTGTCCTGTGAGAAAGATTCGCCAACTCTAACTTTGTAATATCGATCTGTCAGGAAATCATCTATCCAACGAAGTAAAGTACCACGAACTCCGAAATGTTCTAGCTTATGTAGAAGTCTGCGCTTAGGTACACGGTCAAAGGCTTTAGAAAAATCTAGATAAACAACGTCGACCGGCTGCGAACTGTTAAGGGATGACGTCCAGTCGTTAACACAATGTAGGAGATTGGTTAGAGTAGAGTGACCAGAGACAAATCCATGTTGTTGTGTTGGAATAACATGTTCCTGGAGAAGGAATTTGGTCATCTCCTCGGAAAAAATGGCTTCCATAACTTTGGCAACTACTGGCAGCAAGCTAATCGGACGATAATTCTTATGGTCGAGTTTGTTGCCTTTTTTAAAAATAGGGGTAACGGAAGCTAATTTCCAACTAGGGAGTAAGGAGTTCTGGATGAAAGATGTTTGCATAATTAACGTTAAGGGTATTGCAAGCGTGTCTGCGCACCTTTTTAACAGTTTTGGTGTTAAACCATCTAAACCAGGTGAAGCGGCCGTGCGAAATTTAATTAAGTGTTGTTTAACATGGTCCACTGTGAATTCAACTTGCTGTAAGGATGCGCCGACACGATTACAGTTAATAGCAGGTAGATAACCATCATTTAATTCTTTAGTAAAAACCTGTGAAAATGCTAAAGAGAGAGTTTCGGAAGATTCTTTGTCAGAAGAGCATAAAGTCTGGTTGGGTTTTTGAAGTAGCGGAATGGAAACTTTAAATGTCATGGAGGAACGTATGTATTTATAGACTTGTTTAATGTTACCACTTTCAATAACGTTTGCTTCAAAATTTTGTCTTAGGGTTTTTAGAGATGTTTTTTAAGTTATTTGAAAATCTGCGGTGGCTTTGGAAATCACTAAGATCAAATATTTGATTTAAACAAACTGCAAGTACATTTTGTTTTTAATTTCAAACAATAACATGCGAATGTAAAAAAGAGTAACTTATGAGAAGCATGAAAACAAACAGAATTCGGAAAAAAATCATATACGACGAAATTCACATTAAAAGATACAGTGAAAATAAGAGGAATACTATCAAATATATTTCGAATTAAGGTTATATTTAAATAAAGGGAGCTGTTATCAACTCTTTCACCTCGATTTAGAAATAGTTATAATTAATTAAATTTTAGTATGATTAGGCGAATGAAACTATCGGTTTCGCAGTATTATCCCAACCACACACACAAGTAAATGTTAACAAATCAAGCTTATGATTTTAAAAAAGACATCGATGACTAGTCTATGCAGACGATATTGTTTTAGTATATAGAATTAAGAAGAAACTGGAAGAACTAGTCAGGAGATTAACAAAAACAGTGCGAAAATTTGGACTCCAAATAAACATACGATAAAAAATATATAAAAACGTCTGAGAGGAAATACGAGTAAAACAAAATTTCGCTTAAAAAAACTACCAAACCACCAAATTCAAAGAATTGACAATATAACTTAACTGGGTGTAAGGATCAAAGGAAAGACGTCTTTGCTGTATTTATTGACTATGAAAAGGCCTTTGATCGAGTACAGCATCACAAATTAATTACAATATTAAAAGATAAAGGAGTTGATAGTCAAGACATACGATTCATAGAAAAGTTATACTGGCGTCAAACAGCGACAGCTTGCATAAACGAAAAATTAACAGAAATATGTAAAATACAAAGAGGTGTCAGACAGGGTTGTATACTATCCCCACTGTTATTTAATTTATATTCAGATAGAATATTTAAAGAAGCGCTGCATAATTTGGAATGGGTCGTGAAAGTTAATGGATTTCTGATAAATACAATCAGATATGCAGACGATACAGTTATTTTAAGCGATGGCATGAATGGATTACAATGCCTTTTAAACGCCATTGATATAGTGGGAAGAGAGTTTGGCCTAAACATAAACTGTTCAAAAACAAAACACATGGTGTTTAGCCGTTTAGCACATCAAGATGCACGATTATATGTTGATGGTCATATAATTCAAAGAGAGTCCAGTTTTAAATATCTTGGTTGCCATATTACTGAACAACTAGATCCAGATCAAGAGATAAAATGTAGAATCGAGATAGCCCGCACGACATTTTTAAAAATGAGGTCATTCTTCTGTAATGATAACTTGAAACTTCAACTTCGAAAGCGTATGGTTAAATGCTACATTTGGTCAGTCCTCTTATACGGTGTCGAAGCATGGACATTAAAAATATCCACCATTAATCGTCTGGAGGCCTTTGAAATGTGGCTGCACAGGCGTATACTAAAAATTCCATGGACGGCTATGCTGACAAATGTGGCAGTCCTTGAGAGAGCAAATGCTGCTCGCGAGCTGCTTGGATATTGGCTATTTTGGACACGTAGTAAGGGGAGACCGATATAATATTCTTCAACTTATTATGATGGGTAAAATCGAAGGACGCAGAGGAATTGGTAGAAAGCAGGCCTCTTGGTTGAAGAATATCAGAGAGTGGACAGGAATAAAGAAAGCTGAGCAACTCTTTAGAATAGCTCGAGACAGAGACAGTTTCGCCATGTTAATCGCCAAAGTAAAGGGGACTTGATAGGGCACGTTAAGAAGAATGGTGTAAGTAAATGGCGATTTAGAGCCTTCTTTAGAAATTCGCTATCGCATTGCACAAGCAAGAACTTTCTTTAAATGCGAATTCTTTATGGACACGATATAAATCATTTCAGTGGAAGGTTACCTAAACGACATAATATGGAGACATACACATCTTGATATAGACATGTAAACTAAAATATGCAATAAGAGATGAAATACGACAAAGAAATATTCGATGAAGTAAAAAACGCTATTATGACTGTTAAGAAGATACCGACCGAGTAAACAGGCACTTTTCCTATTAAAAAGAATAAAGTAGATGAAAAAATATATAAACTTGGATCTGATAATCAGAATACCGAAGTCCTATGTGTTTTTTGTACTACTCTGCAGAGCAGAAGCAGATACAACAGCAGATATTATGCTTAAAAAATTTGAAGCTTTCGAGATGTGGTATTATAGAACATTCGAAAGAAGAATACTCTTTTTTTACTTATACTTACTGTTCCATAAATGTCTGTGAATATTTTAGTCTCTTATATAAGGGAGTGTCAAATTTTCTCCATAACTGCGGGCCGTTGTCTGTTTTCAATATGCAAGAATTAGTTACTTCTGCAGCTTTTATTAGACGGCTCGACCTGGAGTGTTTCCCTCGTTCACGAGGAGTAAAACTATTCAGTCGAATATCAAGGGTAGTTTGTCCAGTTACTAAAAAAATACATTTCTTTTCAAGTATCATATTAGAGCGCAAATGTGGATGTCGTTTGAAAATAAATAGCAGTAATGGTGAGATAACCTAAAGGAGAACTAGAAAATTACAAAACTAAACAGTGATTAATATTAATAATAATAGTGAATTATCATGATAAAAAAGATTCTAACAGCGCAACCCGTGAGAATGAGAAGACAGGGTAGGCCAAAGCTGAGGTGGATAGACGGGGTAACACAAGATGCCGAGAAGATCGGAGTCGGCAACTGGAAAATGCAAGCAAGGGACAGAACAGAATGGCGTAGAAAGCTTGAGGAGGTCGAGGCCCTCTAAGGGCTGTAGCACCAAGATGATGATGATGATGATGAATAGTGAATTATTTGTCAAATTGTGTCAAACAATTCTCTATTATTATTAATATAAAGGATCATATACAAATATTTACTGTTACAAGGATTGGAGAGTTGTTCCTGACGATGCCCTTTATAACACAAATTAGGTTTCAAAAATTCAGTAATTAATACACACTTTTTTCCCACAGCTTGCACTATAAGGTATATCCATGTTTAACCAGTGGTTAGCCACGTTCTTCTTCGCAGACCCTTTCATCTTTAATATTTTCCTTTATTATGAGACTTGTGAGGTTAAATTTCTCTATTCGGTAAATATTTCCTGTATGACTGTTCTTTTCATGAGATTTTGAGCATTCTTAGAAATATCCACATTTCAAATGCTTTTACTTGTCTCTTACCACTTACTCCTAGCTTTACGGACATCTTATACCATGTGGTCCATATGTATGGAATAAATTCATTTTTAGCGTTATTATGTACTATGTGAAAAAAACCTGAAACAGGTCGATTTTTATTCTTAAATTGACAATTTACAGTATGAAAATAATATCCCCCTCCAGCATCCCCTTTGAATTATAAGCACGCCCTCGAAAATTTTAAATAGCAAAGGGGGTGGTGTAGCACCTTGTTAGAAAGGGATTTTACTCCTCTGTTCAGCAATGTAAAGTTTTTTGAGTTTGTGCAATTATAACTTACAAAATTAATTTTTACAATATTAAATTAAATGTTCAACTTGACCACTATTATTCACTTCTTGACGATAACTGAGGCGATTTTGGAATTCTCATACAATATTTTGTATGACCTCGGGGGTTATTTTGTTAATTTCTTCCTTTTATATCAGCAATATTGCTTGGTCTATTAAAATATACTTTAGAAAAAATCAGGTATTTTCGTATCTGTTCTGCTAAACATTAGGGAAAAAACTTTGAAGATAATAAAATATTAGTCAAAAAGACAAATAAACAATTGATATGAATCTAGTAGGCTGCTGCCATTTTGGTATTTAAGTTTACTAGAAGACATGAGTATAATATTTGTGCGCATATTAAATTTAAGTATGGCTCATTTGTCCGATACTAAAAGGATAGACATTTTAACTATAACTAGTTGTGGTAATAAAACAAGAGCTCAAAAGGAGGTTTGTGAAATGTTAATAATGAATACCCTGGTCAACAAGTTTCGTAGTCTACAGTTAGCACAATTGCAAATAACTTTTGTTATACTGGACATGTAAAAAATATTGAAAAACCAGGTAAAAATAATAAATTGATTGATGAAAAGCAGTTAGACGTATTTCTAGAGATTGAGGAAAATCCGCATAAGACAACTCGAGAACTTGCCGCCATCAATGATGTAAGTAAATCATCTATTTTGAGAGTTTTACATAAAGAAAAATACCACCCTTACAGAGTTTGGTTGCTTCAGGAGTAAAATGAAGATGATCCTGATAGAAGGCAAGAATTCTGTGAAATGATGGTGGACAGAACGCAGATTTGCAGTTCATAAACAAAATAGTTTTTTTTGTGATTAAGCGACGTTTCATTTAAACCGAACGGTTAACAAACCGAACTATAGATATTGAAGTAGAGAAAATCCTCACTGACTGTGTGAGTCTCACACGCAATATCCTAACAAATTAACGATTGGGCTGGTATTATTAACAATAAAATTATTGGTCCTTATTTTTTTGAGGGCGCAGTTGATGATGAGGTTTATCTAGATTTTTTGATTAACTTTTTAGTGCCTATATTACGAAGATTTTTTCCTAATAATCATCCAAATTAGATAGATAGACCTTTTTACTACCAACAAGGTGGAGCTCTACCGCATTTTGCACTTATAATTAGAAATTATTTAAACGAGGTTTTTCTCAATAGGTGGATTGGAAAACTTTGAACAATCGAATGGCCGGCTAGATCCTCCGATTTGACTCCTCTCGATTACTTCTTATGGGGTTATTTAAAATCTGAAGTATAATTTACTAGACCAAACAGTATTGCTGATTGAAAAATTGGGATAACGGAAAAAATTAACAAAATTACTCCCGGAGTCGTGCAAAATGTTGTACGAGAATCCCAAAATCGCCTCGGCTATTGTCAAAAAGTGAATAGTGGTCATTTTGAACATTTAATTTAATTAAATAACATTGAAAAATACATTCTAAATATTATGTGACATTATTATCTTCATTCAACCTAAAGTTTTGTGGTAAAGACAATATCAAAGTTTTACATTTTAAAAATCAATTTTCTAGGTTATTATTGCACCAACCTTAAAAAACTTGATATTACTGAACAGAGGACTAAAATCTCTTTCTAACAAGGTGCTACACGACCCCCTTTGCTATTTAAAATTTTCGAGGGTGTGCTTATAATTCAAAGGGGGTGCTGGAGGGAGATATTATTTTCATACCGTAAATTGACAATTTAAGAATAAAAATCGACCTGTTAAAGGTTTTTTCACATAGTACTTAATAACGCTAAAAATGAATTTATTCCATACATATGGACCGCATGGTAGTAATATGGAATAAATCAGTTTTTACGAACCTATATCGAATAACCAACAGTAAAGTAAAATTTGTGAGAAGTTCAAAATACATGAAGAAACTCTAAAAAAGTTTCTATCCAAAGTATACAAATAAATTAGTATTGCCCCACAATCAGGAATCTTAAAAACGAGAAGACTGATTAATAAGATACGTTGACGAATTTTTTTTTCTCTTAAAAATCTATTGTAATTATGAACACAAAAAAATAAAAAGCACTGTCTTTTTGTAGTTGTGATGTCACTACAGTTTAAGATAAATAACATATAATTTAGCAACATACATTCTAAAAATAATCTAGATAACTCCGGCAGGAAATCCAACTCGGGATTGTTGTCCATTGATTCTACATGTATTAACCATTCCTGTATAATACTGTTGACACTGTTTATAAATTTCTTCACAGACTGAATACTAAGGCCTCTTTGGAAAACACTTCGGATTCTAAACCATTCCGGCCCGTTCCTAAAAAATAATACTAAGCTAAAAACATACCATCATAATCCATTGCTAAGTTTTATTGTCAAAAATACATAGTGTTTTTTTTTTCATTTTAAAAATGGTTTAAAAACTGATGAACTTATACAGTAAAATAAACTTAACCGGAAAATGTTTGCACCACCAAAAATTATGATAGTTGATTTGCTCATGAACGGATTAACCGATTTCGCTAATATTTTCTTTTTATTATTTTATACTTTTTCTTTTGTATTGACACTCAGGGTTAAAGATTTACTCAAACTTCTCTTTTGGACTTATACCGGGTGGAAGAAAAAAATGTTTTTCTTATGTTAAGTTTGAGACACCCTGTAGGGCGTACAAGTTACAAGGGTGGGTTTACATCGAAATCTTGCTGTAGTCTCGTGTTTGGTGAACATTTTGTTTTATTATTTTTTTTTAATTTCTCTGATATCTTTAAACACAAAATACGGTTTTATTCTTTAACATGTGTTTCAACTGAAGCAATACTAAATTAACAATAAAAGATAACAACAGTTAACAAAATTTTAAAAACAGCAACAACTTGTGATATTAAGCGCCCTATTTGATTTTGGTTTATGGAGTTTTAGATATCATTAACAATAGTTTCAAAATCTTACAGGGAAACAGGAAGTGGCTGACGAAGTCTTAATTGAATAATTCTTAAGAGTCGATCAGAACTATTAATAGAAGTAGAGGGGGAAACACGCGATATTAGTTAACTGTATGTTTCTTTATATTTTAAAGTTTTGTCTGTTATTTATCATTGTTAATTTAGTAATGTTTCAGTTAAAACACATGTTAAAGACTAAAACCGTTTATTTTCTTTCTTTTTAAAAGAAACAGTGTGTAAATCTTTCAGCTGGACATAGGCAATATACATTGAGGTAATTGTGGCAACTGCGCTTTCTTAAGCCCACTGCTGTCATCAAGACCACCTGTTGGAAAATCATACAATTCCAGAGGTGTTCTTTATTTTTTTTAGAATTGAATTATTTTCACTTCTTACGATGCCTTATCCTTAAGGACGTTGGTCCAAAACATTTGCCCATTTAATCTTATTTGTAGCAGCCCTGAATAGTTCTATGGAGGTCATGTTCGTCCCATTGCCGTAGGTTTTTAAGCCAAGAGTTGCGTCTTCTTCCTGGTCCACTTTTGCTATTGACTTTGCCTTCGATTATAAGTTGGAGCAGTTCATACTTTTGATTTCTTATGATGTGACCAAAATATTGTGTTTTCCATTCTTTTATTAAAACATAAGCTCTCTTTCCTTATTCATCCTCCGCAAGACTTCCGTATTTGTCGTATGGCTCATGTAGGACATTCTGATCATTTTACGGTAACACCAGAGTTCGAATGCTTGGATTCTTTTTTGTGTTGCTTCTGTCATTGTCCAGGCTTCAACACCATAGAGCAAGGTGGAGAAAACATAGCACTTAAGTATTCTAGTTCTCAATGAGATGCCCAGCTGGCGGTTGCATAGAACTTTTTGCATTTTGTAAAACATTGTACGTGCCTTTTCCAATCGTATTCTTATCTCTAGTGAGTGGTCCCAAGTTTCATCAAGATTACTTCTAAGGTACGTTGTTCTTGTTACTCTTTCCAGATCTGTTCCGTCGACATTGACCTTCACCCTTCTGTTTTGGTGCTTGCTGATGACCATCGTTTTTGTCTTCTTTGTATTCAATTTCATTCCAAATTCTCTACAGGCTGTCGTTACTCGGTCCATTAAGCGTTGCAGGGCTTCAGCATTATCTGCCAGTATGACAGTGTCATCAGCATATCGCAGGTTGTTTATACATAGTTTACAGAGTTATACATGTTTACAGAGTAAACATTGAACAACAAAGGTGATAGGACACATCCCTGTCTTACTCCCTTCTCGATATTGATTTTTCCAGATGTTTCGCTTTTTATTCTGATTTTAGCCTTTTGTTCTTGGTAGAGGTTTGAAATGATCCTTAAGTCTTTATCGTCGATATTACATGACCTTAAAATATCTATTAGTTTATCATGTTTCACCAGGTCAAACGCCTTCTGAAAGTCTATAAAACACAAGTATACATCAGAATCGACATCTCTACATCTTTCAACTAGCACACGTATTGAAAAAAGTGCTTCTCTTGTTCCGAACCCCAAGTTTTTTATATAGCTCTAGCTACAAACTTATCTGTACAAAACTGTCTGCGTAATGTAAGGTGTGGCTCTTTAGCTTCAATTTCAATAATACTAATAGGAGTAGATTTTAAGTAACCAAGACATAGCCTCAAACATTTATTCTTTTGGGTTTCAATTTTATTAAGATGTCCTGTTGATGCAGACCCATATAAATGACAACTATAGTCGAAAATTGGTCGAATCATTGAGCGATAAAATAGCAATGCGATATTTTTATTCTGAAGTAAGACAATATATTAGGTTAAAGTAACACGATTTCTATAAACATATCTATATTATATAATCTATAAACAATAAAATTACTTTATTTAATTTTAAATATATTATTTAAATTTTAAAAATACAGAAAACTTAGTATGAAGCTCCGCCTTGGTCTACAGTAAGGCCTACTGTTCCAGGAAAAACAAAAAAAAAGGAAGATCACATTGGGCCCTGCAGGTGAAATGATGTTTTTCAACATCATATTGTTTTGCTAAATTAAGATTGATGGGCTGGAACGGACTGCATCCCGAGAACCCAGTACCTTCCCGAGATTTGTTGCTCAACTCGCTGTATATGTACGTAAAATATCGAAAAACGTGTCGGCAGTTTATAAGACGAACTTTACAAAAAAATTATTACATTCTAAAGTCTGTTCTATATATCAACCAGAATATCGTTACTTAAATTTATAAAAATTTTAGTGATATTAGTATTTTCTTATAAAGTTAATTTGAATTATTAAAAACAAAAACTTTGTGCTATATATCTGTTCTGTATACAATGTAAAAATGGAATATTGATCACATTTAACCTTGAACGCAGTGTTGCCACGCTATATGTTTAACGTTAAGTCTCGCAATCTGAAGCTAAAATTTAAAATCACTAAAAAAATAACAACTTATACTAATCAGGTTGAATTTAGAAGAAACAACTCACGTAGTGATCAAGTCAGTAGAATCGGTAACATAATAGAACATTTAATGCAAGATTAAAAAGTTAGTGTTTTGAGTTTTTTTTTTATTGGCTTTGGCTTGAAACCTTTAGCCACGTAATTACATATAAATATTAGTATTCATTCATACAGGATTGTACAAGGAGGACACTTTTCACGCTCAGGGATTCATCAGAGCGGCTTTATTATAACAAACAAGACATAAACCACGGTTAGGTAGGTGGGCAACATATATGGTAAACATACAAAGGAAATGTTCAAGCATACGATCAATTTAACACTTACACCTTTAATTTAATTTTTACAAGAAATATCATAATTATTTTAAAAATTTTTATATTGTCTTCACTTAATAAAAGATTTACGTTTAATGGTGTACTTAATCCCTCTTTTATCAATTCTTTTATCAGCCACGTGCTTATATTACGATGTAGTGGACAGTTGAAGAATATGTGGTTTAAGTCAGCTATACTAGTTCCACACTCACATTGGTCTGTTGGGAGAACTCCTATTTTGTGTAGATGTTTCGGAAAACATCCATGATTTACTTTTAATCTTAAGACAGTTGACACTGTGTTTCTGCTTAGTGTAACATCTTTGTAAAACTGTTTTACATCTACTGTGGGTTGTAATTTGTATAAATTAGTGCCCCTGCTTTCACCAAACTGAATCCATTGTCTGTCCCATTTAAATTTAATATGTTGTTTGATATAGGCAAGTAGGTCACATGTGTTAAATTCTTCTATCACCATATGTGGGTGCTGTAATGGATTTTTAGCTATAGAATCAGCAATAGTATTGCCAACAATATCCGAGTGTCCCTTAACCCATAGAAATTTAGTACCATATGGATCTGATAGTTTTAGTAACTGTTGAAAAATTTCTAATATGAATATATTGCTATTGATTGTGAATTTAAAGTTTTGTAAAGAGTGTAATACTGACAGTGAATCACTGCATATGACAATTTTGTTCCACTGGTTTTCACAGCACAATTCAAGGGCTTTGTATATAGCACATGCTTCAGCAGAAAAAATGCTGGATTGATTATTTAAAATAAATGATTTTTTAATCTTCATTTTTGGTACAAAGTAAGCACTGGTTGTACATGTTGGTGATTTTGACCCGTCTGTATAGATCACAATATGATCTGAATAGCCACTTAGGATTTCTTTAAGAGTAGTGTAGCAAAATTCGTTTTGGTATTTAGGGATAGTAATATTTGTAGCCAGAACACTTGTTAGATGTGGTATATCCAACGATTCCCAGATAAAAGTACAAGGGGAATTTATTAACTTCAGTTCGTTGCAAGTTATAATTGCTCTTGCAAGTGGTGGAGAGTTTTTTTTTATGAAGTATGTAGATGTTAAATCAGCTGTATTTAATTCATTAATTATTTTTGCATTATAAGTGCCACGATAATGTTGGTTTAGGAAATATTTGCTTGCCAGATATTCTCTGCGCAATGAGAGTGGGTTTTCAGATGCTAGAGCTAGGGTGGCTTCATTTGGAGTGCTTTTCATCAATCCCAACACAATCCTTAGAGCTTTAAATTGAATTCTATCAAGTTTACGTAAATTGGTAATGCTAGCTGACCCATATACCACACAACAGTAATCTATTATAGATCTTATATAGGCTCGATAAAAATTCAATGCAATGTTTTGATCTGCACCTCACGATCTCTTACACACCATTTTAAGAAAATTGATACCTTTTTCGCAGCGACCTATTGTATAATTAATATGTTGTGTCCAAAGCAGTTTTCTATCAAGTACGACACCAAGATATCTAAATTCCGAAACAATTGGAATATCATTGCCATGTAAGGTTACAGCGTGATGTTTAATAGGGTGTTTTCTTGAAAAAAATA